TAAATATTATATTTTTAATTATTAAAATACATAAAATAAAATAAATTCAATAATAAGAAGTTATTTTAAGAGTTCAAATATAATTTATATAATAAATTATTCATTTTAACAATTTAACTAGCTATTATTATTTAAAATTCACTAATCTTAAGGTCCACAACTAAATTTAGTAAAAAAAGAAAAAAAAAACCAATTCTTGTGTCTTCTATGTTATTTTTTTAGTATCCAACCTCACTATTTCGTTATCAATTTCCTTCAACTAATCAACTTAAAAAAAAAAAGGAGATTTCGACGACGACTCGATGCAAGTTACTACAATACTGCTTTCCTCGTTGAAAGCGCGAAGACAAATTAATGAACCACCAAAAGGATTACTAACTTCTTGATAAAGACTAAAAACAATACTATTTCTTTTTATATGAATCATATATTGTTATATTGGGTTTTAACTTTAAAGTTTTCTAAGTTTTTTTTTTTTATTTTAAAATTTTGTTTTATACTTGTTAGTAAATATGTTTTAACAAAAAAATTAATATACTCTCTCTATCTTAGAATAATTGATATTTTTTTATTTAGAATTTATCTCAGAATAATAGCCTTTTTTTTATTTTGAGGAAGATAAATAATTTTTTTCTACTTTAACCATATAATTATCTTTTAACTTTAATTATTTATTTTCTAATGGAAATAGATATTTATTCTTTGTTATTTTTTAAGTATAAAATAGGTAAAAATAAAAATTATTTTCAAATATTTCATTTGAAGATAAAACAAAAAAATCTATTCTTCTAGTATAGAGGAAGCAAGATTTAAGTAATGAAACTTATTGATTTTTTATTATCACAAAAAATTGTATAATTTCCTTTTAGGATTTAGAGTTGTTGAAATTATAAATAAAATTAAATATTATGATAATATTGAAGTTATATTGAAGTTATATGGAATAAAATTGTATCAGAGTAAAAAAATTGAAAAAAAAAAAGTACAAATCCATAAAGGGAACATACATGAATTCAATAAAAAGAAAAACCTTAGATATAGTCATATGGAAGAAAGTAATAGGAACATAAATTAGTATAAAAGAAAGATAACTCATATAAAGTATAATTAATTTGTAAAAAAGGAAAAAAAAATTGTTTGCTTGTAGAAAGTTGTAGGATTAAGAGATTTGATGTTACTGTATTTCTATATTATGTCAATGGCTTGTGGAGACAAGAAAATCAAAGATTTATAGTCTCATTTACAAGTTAATTATTTTAATGCTTACTCTTTTAGTTTCTATAGCAATAACAAAAATGTATTTTCTATCATGAAAATTGTGAAAACAAGACTTTGCAGCAAAATGAAGGATGGATCTCTCTCTAACTCTTTGATTGTTTATATTGAAAAGCAAATAGTTTAGTCATTTGGTGTAAATAATATTATAAATAGATTTTGTGATATAAAAATTTGTTAAGTATTATTTTAATATATAATATAAGAAAAAAGTACCTATCAGCATTATCTCCTAAAGATTAAGAGGAAAATCATGTCAAAACTACGTCGTTTCAATAAATTTTTATTGAAAAAGACTAAACTACCCTATTTTTAAAGTATGCATTAAGGTGATTTTTATCCTTTTTTTTTTCTTTTAATTTTTTGAAAATAAGACAAACAAACACTAATCTTATAATATAAAATTAAAATTTTAAAATTACAATATATTTTAAGATGTGAAAAACCACCGCACTACAATTCTTGACTCCACGCCTGACGTTCGCTGCCCATCACAGTTATAATAGTAGTGTTCAGTCAGAATCATCCAAATGTCGATAATTTAAGTAGAGATTTTACATAAATGATTAATTTTGAATAATTACTAAATATGGACACGACTTCATATATTAGCAAGAGTTTAAGTTTTTTAGTTGAGAATACAGCTTGGGGTTATTATATATCCCACCGAAATAGTTAAGTTACATCTTATTTAATCTAATTATTTACTATATTTTTATAATATATTTTTAAACAACTTTATATTGTTTTATTTTTTAATAAATTATAAAATATAATAATTAATTAAAATAAAAAAATATAATATTAATAATTAAGATATGGCAATAATAT